ACGAACTCAGCAAAAATGTTACTTGACCAAGGTAATCCATTGATTACTCAGTCTCTAAAGGTAGATTTCAGAGAGAAGTAATGGTTTAAACTGTGTAATAATGACCCCTTTTCAATCTATACGTCTAACTGACCTTTTAACCTATTGTAATTCATTGTTCTTGACCAATATGCTATCCTGTCTTCAACACTAGCCAGTGATGTTTTCCATATTGCGTACTGTTTTAGTGACCTGCCAGAGAGAGAATAATTTATGATGGTATACAACAATATGTCTGAGACTTCTTCTTCGATGAAGAATTGACGTTTTAGGTTAACACCAGGACTCCTCGAGTTAACTTGATGTATGATAAAGTGGAACGTTTGAATGAAAATGTATTTCTGACTGATCACTGACACATCTGATGTAAGAAACCTTGCTTTGCCAGTTGTCATGGTAGCTCTGAGATCCCTATGGACTAGAAAGTCCCTATCAACCTTGAACCAGTTAGAGAAAGCCATGCACACCTTGTATGTATCGGTACCTGCACTAGAAAAGCCAGTAGACCCAAAAACACTGCCAGAATAAATTTTGCAGATAACACAAAAGCCAAAGACCTCCACAATGCTTTTTTCAACCCCTGTAAAGATTGTTTTCGAGTAGTCCACTATTAAATGATAACTACTCTACAAGTGTCCAGTTGGTGGGTCGACAACCACCTTCTGTAAGCTCAACCAGATGTACACTACTCTTTGGTAATACCACAACATCCCAAATCTAAGGAATACATTTCCAAAATTGAAGTCGATTTTAGGGTTGACTGGTCTTCGGGGAAATGTTTCATATCCAAAAGTTAAGGGCCAAGCTGCAGTTTCAGATACCTTGATAGTGGCCACCAGAAGTAGGGAAGCTAATTAGAACTTTGTCATAGGCCAGATACCCCAATCAGCCCTGGCATCAACAACATCAGCAGATATTTGATGTGAACATTGTGCAAGGATGTTGAAAGCATTGTTCTTGAACGATTATTCAGGTGGTATTTAAAGGTTATGTTAGCAGATTTGATGGCAGCAATACAAGAACAGCAAAATAAACAAGAAGAACGAGAAAATAAACAAGAAAAGAGACTACAGCAGTGGTTGGAGGAGAAAGAAAAGAAACAAGAAGAACAAGAAAGGAAACAGGAAGAAAGTCTCTAAAAGTTGTGGGAAAGTCAGTAGCAACTACAGGAAAGTTAACAAAAGTGGCAAAACGTACACATGGAAAACATTGGTAAATTGCAATGTGAATTAAATACATTAAAGGACGATTTACTGTCTTTTACAAAGGGAGGATATATTAACCATGGACCTAATTCAGCCCCAGACAACAGGAAGCCCCTTCCAGTCCCCGCAGTCAAACCCTAATGCAAACATCTTTAGTCCTGCCAGAAGTCACATTCCAGACATGAATGTTAGCAATATGGATGATCTAGTACGAAGGAAGCCACAGGAATTCGATGGGAAGACACCATATAGAGCACAATTTGAGCTCCTGGCAGAAATGAATGGATGGACAGAGGAACAGAAAGCAGTGTACCTGGCAACGAGCCTGAAGGGATAACCACTGGAAATACTTGGATAGTTGTCAGCAGACGACAGGCACAACTATAGAGCACTGGTAGCTGCTCTAGAACTCAGGTATGGAGCTCCAAATCAGTCCGAAGTCTACAAGGCTAGGTTTAGGACAAGAGTACGTGCTAAAGGAGAGAGCCTACAAGAGCTGGCACAGGATCTGTAAAGTATGGCACACAAGGCCTACCCAACTGCACCACCTGATGTCCTCAAGCTGTTGCTGAGGGATCAGTTTGTAGACGCCTTGGACAGACCACAACTAAACATACAAGTGAAGCAAGCACACCCCTCTACTATGCAGGATGCAATGGCCAGAGCTCTGAATTCGAATCCTATGTTAAGTCCAGCACAGAGGTACCACAATTGATACAGTCATCAGGATTCAAGGCCAGAAAATGGCAGCTTTCAGAGAAGTTTGAGGAACTTTGCTGGCACTGAAACAAACCTGGGCACAAGAGAGCTCAAAGCCAGACCCTTCAACACAGGGATGATGCCATGGCAGGAAAGGCTGCTACCCAGAAAGGTTGTTGGACCTGTGGAGAGCAAGGACATATGAGGAGCCAGTGTAAGAAGATTACTAACAATAAATCAGCCATGGGGAAACCAGTAGTGGTTGGTGTTGAGGGACACCCACCGACCCTCCCCATTGTGAAAGTCCCAACAGCTAAGTGTAAAATGGCAAGTACACATAGTGTCTACGTGACAGGAAAGCTGGATGGCCAAAGGTGCAACTTTGTCATAGATTCTGCATCTCAGCAAACCCTTGAGATATCAAGGTGCTGGATCACAAAGGAGTACCAGAAGCCATACAGAAGCTCTGTGGTGTGATAGAACATTATGCAAGGTTGTGGGGACCAGTGTGGGTAACTACTGAGCTCATGGGCATGAAGGACAAACACAAAGTATATTTGGCTGACATTGAAGACCAATGCATATAAGATTTGGACTACTTACTACCGAGGAAGTGTGTAGTTAACTTTGATAAAACGACGTTTGGGAACAAAAAGCCAAATTCTGGTAAGTGTTGCTGCATCTGTTGATTTGCATGTCACAACACCTAAGTCAACTACAATACCCCTATGTCAGAGAAGATAATTTGGGGTAGAATAAAAGAACATTCCCAAGGAAACCCGATGCTTGTGGAAGCAGTGGAAGATCCATCCAGGTCAGCAGATGTGAATATTGGAAGGTCACTTGTGGCAGATCATCAAGTAGCACCCATAACAGTGCCCAATCTCTCTAAAAGTGAGCAGACACTTAAGGAAGAGGCATTGTTGGGTGTGTGCCAGGAGGTAGAGCCAGTCAAAGTTAAGGCAAGAAATACTACCATAAAGAAAGGACATATTCTCCCAGAACATTTAACTGACCTCTATTAGAAGAGTATAGTCCATTTGTCATCATCACAGGCTCTTCGGGTTAGGGAACTTTTGGCGAATTATGCAGATGTCTTTTTGAAAGGAGATGATGACGTCGGCTGTACAGGCCTTGTAGAGCACAGAATAAACACAGGCACTCACCATCTAATAAATATTCCTCCGAGGAGAATAGCTCCAGCAAAGCAACAAGAGATAGAAAAGGTCATGGATGGCCTAATTAAGGAAGGGATAGTCGAGAAATCAGATAGTCCCTGGTCAGTTCCCATCGTGTTAGTCCAGAAGAAGGATGGGACCCAACGTTGCTGTGTGGACTTCAGGGCTCTTAACATTACAACCAAAAAAGACTCGTACCCACTGCCAAGAATGGATGATACTCTTGATGCCCTAAGTGGAGCCAGGTGGTTTTCAACTCTGGACTTAAAGTCGGGTTTCTATCAAGTGAAGATGGTTGAAGCAGATAAATCTAAGACAGCATTTAG